CAAAATAGCTATACAATTGGAAACTCTATCTATAATGAATTGCTGGTGAATTTAGTAGTGGAAGAATCTCAGTACAAACATTACATTCATTCTATTCTTTCCATGGACACGAAAAATCTTATATAAGAGGAAACCAAATATACAACTCTAATAAGACTATAGCCAACAAAAAATATAAACATCCAACTTCATAAAGCTGAACAACTCTACTCAAAGATATGACTCATGAATCAGTGCTAGTATGTGAACTATCAACTACCAATTTGACAAGAAGTTTTCAGAAAACTACACAAGCATAGTAATACAGCACAGATATGGTTCTGGTACATGGCATGCTAAAGAAAAAACTGCAAGGCTGCCAAACTGCACTCCAGGTGGTTGCAAAGTTATCAGTATGATAATGTGGTTATCAAAACTGTACTTCTGAACTTTTAACAGTGTGAACCACCACTGGATTCTGGAAAGAGCAAGGATTTACTGGTTCTTTGCTACCTTTCTCCTCCTTCCCTAGAGCTACCCTACAACCAGCTCCTCCTTATTCTCCCTACTTCCTAGCAAAACAAGATGAAAAGAGGAATTGAGCCTAGATTGACAAGCATTGCTCCCCACACATTTGACGCACACACTTCTCCAGAAAGAGAAGTAGCAGAGCCTTTGGTATCTTATAGCAACCAAGGAGCCAATGACAGACAACAGCAGCTGGCGCTGCCATGGCGATCCCTGCTCTTCTCCATGGCAGCAAGAGCGGTAGCAAGAAGATCTGGAAGAACAGTGACACGGACTGCCAAGCTTCTGCATGGCCCATGCTGCAAACGGGGTGATAGGGACACAGAGCAGAGCAAGGAGGAGAGGAGCAAAAAGTCTCTGAGGTCCCTGATTGCAAGAAACTACTGTGCTCTTCCTACCTCCACGTTACCCCAAAGCAATTCATTCATCAAAATGTGGCTTACAAAATAAGACTTCAAAAATAAGCTGAGCATACAAAGCGCCAGTGGCTTATCCAATTTCTTTCTCTCTTCACAGGCTCACAGACTCCAACTCCCTTCATCCAGTAAATGCTAGACAAAAAGAATCACACAGCAAGGTGTTTTGTTTGATCTCCGTTATCTCCAGTGAAGACCAGGTGTCAAATCATGTCCTACATGTTGTGCTTGGTTCCACTCTGCAAGGACTATATTTAATGCAAGGCGAACTCACCCAGAGATTGCTTCTCTAGAGGGAATTGCATGAAGCCTCAGCAGTGTGCATTAGTTCCTTGCAATGAATGCACATGTGCCGAACCATCTGTGTAGTCATCTCCACTGAGAAATGGCACAGTGGTATCATGCAATTCCTTACATGGAAGTCACCTAAATGTAGAAATTAGTTTCAGGCAAAGTCTCCCTAAGAAGGTATTGGGCTGCTGGGCAAAATTTGGAACGTGATTTACGCTGGAGAAAATGTAAATCATCAAGCACAGCATAGAATCATACGAGTTGGAAAAAACCTCATGGGCCATTCAGTCCAACCCCCTGCCAAAAAGCAGGAAAATCGCATTCAAAACACCCCTGACAGTTGGCAATCCAGCCTCTGCTTAAAAGCCTCCAAAGAAGGAGCCTCCACCACACTCCAGGGCAGAGAGTTCCACTGCTGAACAGCTCTGTGTTGGAAATGTACTCGTGGAAAAACTCCAGCACCTACAATTCAACAAAGACTAAAAAATGGTGTGATTTCGTTTTAGCACCAAGGTTGTTCCTTAAAGGGATCACTTTCTATGACAGTAAAGAATCCATGTGTATCAAGGAAAAAACACTTTCAAACAGGAGGATTTATTCCAAATGAATAGAAAGCAGCTATCAGAGATGTTGCCATCAAACACAAGATCATCCGGAGATCATAAAACATCCATAATAAAACTGTAGGCACCTATATGCACACACAAAATATTCTAAAATTGGCAGTGTCAAAGGATAATGGAAGGGACCAAAATATGACTCTATTCTAACATGTATTCACTTCTGTTCGTGACTAAAGAGAATGTGGGCCAATAAAGGGATGGCATGAGAGGGTGGCCACCATAAGACCAGGCCTATTATTGTAAAAATGAGGCACTTCAAAACATTCACTGAAACAGCCATACACAGGCGGTATGACCACTAACTCTATATCACGGAGTTTCTCCTGACACTCTTCAAAAGCCAAGATTCAGATGTACAACAGTCTTTTAACTACTTTTAGAGAGGCTGGATGTGATTTGTGTTATTATTGCTATTATAAAGAGGAAAGGTTTGCACATGCAACCTTTTCCATACTGTTTGGCTTAAAATGTCTTAATAACATCAGTCTCTTCAAGGAATCTTTTCTTTTCCCCCCATCAGCTCCCAAAGCTGGATGATTATAGTTATTGTAGGCTGTATAAATCATTGTTTTTGTTGCTATTATACATTTTAAAGAACAATACTGTAAATAAGGAAAGGTTTGTGCATGCAATCTCTTCCAAATTATACAACTTAAAGGGTCTTAATAACATCTGTCTCTTGGGGGAATCTTTTTCCCTTCCTCACCTCCAAAATTGTATGTTCATTATATGATTATTGTTGCTATTGCTATGACACCTTTCAAATAACAATACTGCAAAGAGGAAAGGTTTGGGTTGCTGTGCATTTTCTGGGCCATATGGTCATGTTCCAGAAGCATTCTCTCCTGATGTTTCACCCACATCTATGGCAGGCATCCTCAGAGGTTGAGGGATGCATGCAACCCCTTCCAAACTGTATGAATTAAAGAGTCTTAACAACATCTGCCTCTTTGAGGAATCCTTTCTTTATTTCTCCCTTCCTTGCCTTCCAAAGCCGTAGGATTATTGTTGTTATTGCTATGCTACCTTTTAAAGAACAACATTGTAAAAGACAAAAGGTTCGTACAAGGAAGTAGGACAAGCTTTTCACAAATGAATTCAATTGCTAATGACATCAAGGTTGATTTGCACTGAACTTAGCGAAATATACTATTTAATTTATGAGTTTCCAAAATAATTGCAATTGGTTTTAAATGTTTTTAATGCTTAATATTTGTTTATATCTTGTTTCTGAATGTTTTTATGTGTTGTATGATTTTTGGATTTGGATTTTACATTGAACATGCTTTGATTTGTATTGTGTTGTGACCTGCTTTGGGTCCTGTTGGGAGAAAGTAAAGGTAAAGGTTTGCCCTTGACATTCAGTCTTGTCAAGTCCAACTCCGGGGGTTAGTGCTCACCTCGATTTCTAAGCCAAAGAGCCAGCGTTGTCTGTAGACGCCTCCAAGGCAATGTAGCCAGCATGACTGCATGGAGCGCCATTACCTTCCCGCCGGGACGGTACCTATTGATCTACTCACATTTGCATGTTTCCAAACTGCTAGATTGGCAGAAGCTGGGTCTGACAGCAGAAGATCACCCCGCTCCCCAGATTCGAACCACCGACCTTTCGGTCAGCACGTTCAGCAGCTCAGTGGTTTAACCCACTGCACCACTGGGAGTTTTAATTTTAAATTTTAATACTTAATTTTAATGCTTAATATTTGTTGATATCTTGTTTCTGGACATTGTTATGCTTTGTGTGATTTTTGTCTTGTGTTTTATGCTGAATGTGTTTTGATTTCTATTGTTTTATGAGCCTCTTTGGGTCCTGTTGTGAGAAAAGTGGGATATAAAGAAGGAATTGTTGTTGTTGTTGTCGTTATTATTATTATTATTATTAAAGGGACTTAACCACATCCGTTTCTTGCAGGAGTCTTTTCTTTCTCCCCTCCTCAACCCCAAAGCTGCATGACTATTGTTATTGTTGGATGTAGGATTATTGCTATGATTGGCTGAATGATTATTGTTGGCTATATCGTCAGCTGTGATTATGGCTATTGTTGGCATCTTGTTTCAAAGAACACTGTAAAAAGGAAAGGTCAGCGCATGCATGCAACCCCTTCTAAATTGTACTAATTAAAGAGTCTTTGACCTGTTGGTCTCTTTCTTGGATGAATCTTTCCTCTCCTCACCTCCCAAAACTGCATGAGGATTGTTATCCAGGTATGGACAAACTTGGGCCTTCCAGGTGTTTTGGACTCCAACTCCCACCATTCCTCACAGCCTCAGGCCCCTTCCTTTTCCCCCTTAGCTGCTTAAGAATGTTAGAATGTTGAAGCTGGCCAATCAGAAACCATATGCAAATATAGGTCGAGACAGCTCGTGCATGGGCGAACTTGCACCCTCAAGGAATGTGTCCAGAGGAGGGTGACTAAAATGATCAAGAGTCTGGAGAACAAGCCCTATGAGAAGCGGCTTAAAGAGCTCAGCATGTTTAGCCTGAAGAAGAGAAGGCTGAGAGGAGAATTGATGGCCAAGTATAAATAAATGTGGGGAAGTCATAGGGAGGAGGGAGAAAGCTTGTTTTCTGCTGCCGTGGAGACTAGGATGTGGAACAATGGCTTCAAACTACAAGAAAGGAGATTCCATCTGAATATTAGGAAGAACTTCCTGACTGTGAGAGCCATTCAGCAGTGGAACTCTCTGCCCTGGAGTGTGGTGGAGGCTCCTTCTTTGGAGGCTTTTAAACAGGGGCTGGATGGCTATCTGTCAGGGGTGCTTTGAATGAAATTTTCCTGCTTCTTGGCAGGGGGTTGGACTGGATGGCTCATGAGGTCTCTTCCAACTCTATGATGCTATATAAACCCCACTTGCTTAGTTTCTAACAGACTTCACAATCTCTGAGGATGCCTGCCACCCATGCAAGCGAAACGTCAGGAGAGAATGCTTCTGGCACACAGCAACCCAGCGGGAGCTTGTCTTGCGCCTTGCCCCTTCTTCCAATTCGTAGGACTAGTTAAAAGAGTCCTGGTCCCCCCCCCCCTTTCCCCCTCTCCTCCCAAAGCTGGGCTAGTTGGAAGCAGATGGTTGCGTAAATAAGGAAAGAGCAGAGGGAAGGAAGGCAAACTTCTCGCAAGAGGGGGCGAGGCCTATGTGAGGGAGGGATGGTGTGGGGTCGTACCTGTAGGGGATCCAGTCCGCCTGGTGCCTCGAAGTCATCGCTAGCAGCTGCGGCAGAGGGGCTTCCCCCGGCCGCAGCGGGAAGGAAGGAGACGGGCCGAGGAAGGCACCGGCCAGCGCAGCATCCTCTATCCGGCCCGAGGAGAAGCCGAGGAGGAGGAGGAGGCAGGGACATGGGCAGGGAGGGCTGCTATCCCAGCGCCGCCGCCGACCACAAGCGCCACACCATGGAGCCTTCCCCCGGGAGGGTCACCCAGTCGCCGCATGGAGGGAGGCTCGGCTTCAAAATGGGCGAGAGAGAGAGAGAGAGAGCGCGAGAGGGGCGCCCGCCTTTGCTGCTCCTGCCGCCCCTCGGCTCGCGCCTTCGCTGTTATCCTCTTTCGCTGCGCGCGCCTCAGCCAATCAGGGGCGGCGCGCGCCTTTGTATATATACATACACAGGCACACACATCCACAGATCGAGGTCTTTATACACAAAACAGGGATCCAACGCGGCGTTGGCAGCAGAAGCGGCAATAGCGCCCTTGCTCTAGTAGTGGCCAACGGCTGTCACTGCAGCAGCCCTCTCGCCACGCAGGGCGCATCTACATACACCAGTGGTTCCCAAGCTTATTTTGACCAGGCATCACTTGACTAGGGACTACTTTGACAAGGGGACCACGTACCAAAAGGGTTACGAAACAGTTTTTGGTCAACTTTAGATTCGGTTTGGTTATTTGGGGGTGCTAATTCAGAAAAATGCATTGGATAGACCACTTCAGCTCTAGATTCTGATACAGAACATAAGTAGTCGCCATCTGCTCGCCCACAGAAGACCATAATAATTACAATCATAATCATGTTGCTGTTGTTGGTGACAGTATGATAGCTGGGTCTGGAAGCTCCGAGTGTTACGGAGACAAAGAGTGAATATTGGAAAAATACAATGCAGGGAAGAAGATAAAGCTGGCAAAAGAAGGCTCTCCATGGACAGTTCCTGGGAAAATTTCGAACAAAATTGACAAGGAAAAAACATGGCTGGAGCTCAAAAATGGAACTTTGAAAAAGAAGACGGAGGGCCTGATTCTGGCAGCCCAAGAACAAGCCTTTAGAACAAATGCCATCAAAGCCAGAATTGAAAAGTCGACGACAGATTCCATATGTAGGCTCCGCAAGGAAGGAGACAAAATTATGGATCACATCCTCAGCTGCTGCAAGAAGATTGCACAGACGGACTGCAAGCAGAGGCATAACACAGTTGCTCAGATGATCCATTGGAACTTGTACCACAAATACCATCTACCTATGACAAAGAAGTGGTGGGATCACAAGCCTGAAAAGGTTATGGAAAATGAACACATCAAACTACTCTGGGACTTCTGAATTCAGACTGACAGAATTTTGGAACACAATACTCCTGACCTCACGATTGTAGAAAAAAAACAAGTATGGGTCATCGATGTTGCAATCCCAGTTTTGACTAGAAGCAACTGGAAAAGCTTACACAATACGAGGATTTAAAGATAGAACTGCAAAGAGTCTGTCACAAGCCAATCAATGTGGTCCCAGTGGTGATCAGCACACTGGGTTCAGTGCCTAAAGACCTTAGCCTGCACTTAAAAACAATTGGCACTAACAAAATTACCATCTGTCAGCCTCAAAAGGTCTCAGATCTGCACACATTATTCACTGATACATCACACTAGGACACTTGGGAAGTGTCCAACGTGTGATCAAATACAAAAGCCAGCATAGTGATCTTGTTTGCTGTGCACTAATCTTGTGTATCTAACAACAACAACAATACTTTATTTGGACCCCGCTACAATCTCCCCAAAAGGACTTGGGGTGGCTAACAAAGCACTCAAGGTGCCACACATAAAATAGAATGACATATCATCAAAACAATATACAGTTTGACTGAATACGAACAATGGACAACATCAATCAATAAATTTTAAAAAATTAAATTCTAAAATGCAGTCATACATATGGGTCATTGGGATTCTTCAAATAAGAACTAAAGTGCTGAATAACAATGGTCAACATCATCACATGACCATAGTACATTACTCCAGGTCAAAGGTCTGTGTAAATAGCCATGTTTTAGGCTCGAATGGAAGGTTTGGAGATTTGCAGCTTTAATAAGCCTCAGCACTATAAGAGGGTTTTGCGACACTAGTTACTCTTGTTACAACAGTGTAGTAACAGTGAGGCTGCGGACCATATTTTAGTTCTTGCTGACCACTGGTGGTTCACAGACCACAGGTTTGGAAGCACTGATATACACAGTGGCTTTGAGGCAGTTTGAAACCAACTGTTACAGCTCAATGCTATTGGCAACAATGCCTAACAGCTGATAGGTTGTTTAGGATTGTGGAAGCTGAAGTCCAAAACACCTGGAAGGCCAAAGTTTGCCAATGCCTGCTATAGGACCACAGAGAATGCTAGCTTTATGAAAAGGTTTTGAGCCTGCTCTGCCAAAGAGTGCAGGGGCCTCACTAAACTACATCTAGCACCCCACAGCATAGAGCTATGGTGTCAAATGGCATTAATTCTATAGTATAGGCCAGGCATGGGCAAGCTTCAGCCACTCCTCGGGCACTACAATTCCCACAACTCCTAACAGCCTCAGGCCCCTTCCTTTTCTCTGGCACAGAATCCATGGCTACCTTGGTAATTTCAAAACAAATTTCATTCAGTCACATATCACAACATAAAATATCTATGTGATGGAGCAAATCAGAGGTCATTTTTGGATCTGGAATGCCCAATTCCTTATAAAATTATCATACATTCTTAGGACGTTATCCCATGGAGGAGGGGAGTGTCACATATCTGTGGTCTTATGTCCTGTTACATTAGAAAACAAATAATGGCTGTTAGGAATTGTGGGCAGGCCCGTAGCCAGGATTTCATTTCGGGGGGGCTAAAAAAATTTTTGGGGGGGTCGGGGGGGCTCAGTTTCGGGGGGGGGGCCTGAGTCTGAGTGAAAGAGGGTCTAGCCTAGCAAACCTTTTGTATCATTACCCCAATACCCCCATGCACCTGGAGGGCTTAAGTTTTGCCCATGGTTGGACTAGGCTTTCCCTTCCAACCCTGCAACTCCCGAGGAGAGAGGAAGCATTGATCTGGAAAGAGAGACACCACTTTGAGGATGAAGATAGACACTTCAAAAACACTTCACTGACAGGACATGACAGACACAAGGAGGAAGTCCTCCTGAGTCATCTGATAGGCTTCACTATACATTGTTAAACCTTTCTGTTTTACAAGTGTTTAGAAATGTCAGGATGGGGGGGGGGGCTGTGTGGGATAACGTCCATAGAGTTGGAAAAGTGTCCAACACTTTTCTGCCATGCAGAGATACATCGAGTCCAACACTTTTCTGCCATGCAGAGATACATCGAGTCCAACACTTTTCTGCCATGCAGACACAGATTTTTCTAAAAGTTGTAATAACCCTCAGTTTCACAGGCCTGTGTGGTGGCACAAGGTCTGGATTAGAGGCGAGCACTATAAGAAAATGGGGCAAAAGTTATCATTGGGTAGTCTGTCAGCCTGTATCAACTGACAATAGTTATGTTTTCTTAATGAAGTCTTGTAGCATGGTAAAGATCAACCCTTTTTAGTGGGTATACATTTTGATAGACTGCAGCCTAGTTCATCAGATGCATCAAGGGTTAGTCTGAATTAGGCCCCCATCTACACTGCCTATTATCCAGTTTCTGAATCCATATTACCTGCTTTGAATTGAATTATGTGGCAGTGTAGACACATATAATCTACTCCAAAGCAGATAACTGGATTCAGAAATGAGATCACATGACAGTGTAGATCCAATCTTGGTGAATATTTATAAACATTTGGAAAAAAAATTGAAAATTGAAATGAAAAGGGGATGATGGAAATACAAAACATAAGCTTGTGTCAAATAGCATTTATTATTTTAAGGTGTCCCAAGACAATTCTCCTTGCTATAGTGGACTAACAAAAAGGATGTAGAAAATCAACTTAGCATGAACTTTTGTAGACTTTAGCCCACTTCACCACTCAAGCACCCCAGGATTTTTAAGTGTTTGGTTTTGCTGCTCCAGATTAACAAGGTTCCTGCTCTGGAGACCGAATTCCTCAAGTTTTGCTTTTGTGTCTCCCAAAGGATCACTTCATTTTCCCTGTGGTACCAATTAAATTTCTAAAATAAAGGATAGAGAGGTCAGGATATCAGTTGAACCAGACATCAGATCGGGGGCATGGATGTGTTTTGTTTACTTTGACACCTTTTAAGTAATCACAGGAAGAAGCAGACTCATGAAGAAGTTCTACTGGGATATTTTTTTCTTCTCCATCCCAATATATTTGCCATTCAGATATTGCTTCAGGTTTCAGGATATGAAAACTGAGCTTCAGAATGCACCACTGCAGAAATTCTCAAAATCTTTCATTTTACAAATTTGCGTCATCAGACTCTAATGTGACTTAAAACCTGCATCAGAAGCAAAATCCAGTTGTTAATCCCAAACAGAGGAAGCTGAAATAAAGCTTTTTGTTAAAGTCATTAGGGCCTAATTCTTTTTCTTTTTAACATACACAATTTTAACTGTTTCAGATCTTTTCTTGCAAGTGTTCAATATGTTTTTATCCCATTTATTTATTTTGTTTGTTTGTTTTTATCTAGAACTATAGCATTTGAGTTGTGTTAATATAGTATGCCAGCATGGGATCTCACAATAGAGGGTGGGATAGATATATTACAATACAGTAACAAGGAATACATGGAAAGTAGAAATGTGGTTATATAGTATTGTTTACCAGCGTTTTTCAAACTGTGCTCCTCCAGCTGTTTTGGACTTCAGCGCCCACAATTCCTAACAGCTGGTAAACTGGCTGGGATTTCTGGAAGCTGAAGTCCAAAACACCTGGAGGAGCACAATTTGAGAAACACTAGTTTAAACTACCAGCTGTATAAAATCCAGATTATCTGCTTTGAACTGGATTATATGGCAGTGTAGACTCAGATACTCCAGTTCAAAGCAGGTAATGTGGATTATCTGACTTGATATTCTGGATTATATGGCAGCATAGAAAGGCCCAAAGAGAGCAGACTAATAGTGTAAGTTTCATAGAATTGTGTGTGTGTTTATAGGTGTGTTTTGTTGGTGTGTTTGTGTTTTGATGTAGTTTTGTAGTTTGTTGTAGTAGTTAGAATATAGCTGTGTCATATTAGCATTAAATATTATAACATCATGCCTTTGTTTTATTGCTGTTTTTCTACTATTTTTTTCATTTTGAATAAAAATACTTATATAAAAATATTCAATGTAATCATATCTGCTACCTGGTTACTATACCAGTATTATAGCAGTGTTGGCACACAAAAATCAGTGCTTTTACAAAAAGCAGTCTTATTACAGATTGAATCTCCCTTATCCAGAAATCTGAAATACTCCAAAAGCCTAAACATTTTGCCTCCAGTTGCCCACTTCTTATTC